GCATTATTGGTGGAGGAGGATGAAGAAGGATATTGTTGCATATGTAGCTTGGTATTGTCAGCAAGTAAAATATGAGCATTAGAGACCTGGTGGTTTGCTTTAGAAGATAGAGATTCCTGAGTGAAAGTGGGAGCGTATCATTGTGGATTTCGTTGTTGGACTCCCACGGACTCAGAGGAAGTTCGACGCAATTTGGGTTATTGAAGATAGGCTAACTAAGTCAGCGCATTTCATTCCTGTGGCAGTTTCCTATTCTTCGGAGCGGTTGGCAGAGATTTATATTCGTGAGATCGTTCGCCTCCATGGTGTGCCCGTGTCTATCATTTTTGATCGAGGTACGCAGTTTACCTCGCATTTCTAGAGGGCAGTACAACGTGAGTCGGGTACGTGGGTCGAGTTGAGCACATCATTTCATCCTCCGACGGACGGGCAGTCCGAGCGTACTATTCAGATCTTAGAGGATATGCTCCGCGCCTATGTTATTGACTTTGGAGGTTCTTGGGATCAATTCTTGCCGTTAGCGGAGTTTGCCTACAACAACAACTATCAATCGAGCATCCAGATGGCACCCTATGAGGCATTATATGGTAGATGGTGTCGATCACCGGTTGTGTGGTTTGAGTCGGGGGAGGCTCGGTTGTTGGGTACAGGTTTAGTACAGGATGCCTTGGATAAGGTTAAAATCATTCAGGATAGGCTTCGTACAGCTCAGTCCAGGCAGAAGAGTTATGCCAACCGTAAGGTTCGTGATATAGAATTCATGGGCGAAGAGAGAGTGTTGCTTCAGGTATCGCCCATGAAGGGCGTAATGAGATTTGGGAAGAAGGGCAAGTTGAGCCATAGGTTCATCGGGCCTTTTGCGATTCTTGATCGAGTGGTAGAGGTGACCTACAGACTTGCGTTGCCACCAGGCTTATTAGCGGTGCATCAGTATTCCATATTTCCATGCTTCGAAAGAATCACAGCGATCCATCCCATGTGTTAGATTTCAGCACTGTCCAGTTGGACAAGGATTTGACCTACGAGGAGGAGCCGGTAGCCATTTTAGACCGGCAGGTTCGTTAATTGAGATCGAAGAGTTATCCTTCGGTTTGGGTGTAGTGGAGAGGTCAGCCCATTGAGGCAGCTACCTGGGAGTCCGAGTCCAATATGCGGAGTAAATATCCCCACCTTTTTCCCATCTCAGGTACTTTTCTATGTCCGTTCAAGGACGAACGGTTGTTTTAGAGGTGGAGAATGTGATGACCCAAAAGGTCATCTTGTGCTTTAGAATCCAATTCGGTGTTCTAAGGCCTTCAAAACCTCATTTTATTCCTCCTCGATTTGCATGCGCAGTCCGGGTGCATTTCCAGAAAGCCTTTATGTGAAAATTTGAGAAAAATAATAATTTTTACCTTTCAAAGTTGATTATAGTTGACTTCAATCAACGTTTTGAGTAAACGGACCCGGACCCGTATTTTGACTGTCCTGATAGGTTCGTAGTAAAATACGGGACCTAGGTGTATGCCTAGAATTGAATTCAGAGGTCCCTAGCCCGAGTAATGAATTTTCGTTAAAAATTGTAAGTCTGAAAATCTAACGGTTTAAAGAAACTTAATGTTTGATCTCGTCGGTATCGGGCCCGTACTTTGGTTCTGGAGCCTCGTACAGGTTCATTATAATATTTAAGTCATGTCCATGAAATTTGGTGAAAACGGAGTTTATTTGACGTGATTCGGGCATCCGGTTGAGAAAAGAGGAATTTCAAGTGTTCTTAAGAATTTCATGTGTTTTGGTATTAAATTCGTAGTTCTAGCTGTTATATTGGCTATTTGATCACACTATCAAGTTCGTATGATGTTTTAAGACTTGTGTGCATGTTTGGTTTGGAGCCCCGGGGGCTCGGGTAAGTTTCGGATAGACTACGGAGTGATTTGGACTTAAGAAAATTTGCTGGTATTCTTTAGTTGTGTTGCAGGCCTCAGACCTCGCAAATGCGAGGTCAAGCTTCGCATTTTGGACTATTGTTGAGGTCGCATTTGCAAGCTTCTCATCGCAAATGCGAAGGGAAGCAGGGCCAGCCTATGTTCGCAAATGTGAACAATCCTTCGCATTTGCGAAGTTGGTCTGGGGAAGGGATTCTTCGCATTTGCGAAGAAGGTGGTCGCAATTGTGATCCCAGCTTCGCAGTTGCGAACAATATGTTCGCATTTGCAACAAAACCATAAATGCGACAGGTTCGCAGTTGCGATGCCTTTCTCGCATTTGCGAGCTTCGCAATTGTGAAGCTCAGGTCGCAAATGTGACATCTGCAACTGTGTTAAAGGGACATAGGTGGGATTTTGATTCATTTCCCAAATTTCCAAAACCTAAACCTCAAGAGGCGATTTTCCAAAGACCATTTTTTCCCTAAATCATATGTAGGTGATTCTAACTCATTTCTTTCAATCTATCACTTCTTTTAACAAGATTTCAACCTAGAATCTAGGATTTTCAGGTGGAATTGGGGATTTTTGGGTAGAAACTAGGGATTTCGAAATTTGGGAATTTAGACCTCAAATTGAGGTCGGATTCCATAACTAATTGTATATCTGGTCTCGGGGGTGAATGGGTAATTGAATTTTGGTCCGAATTTCGGGTTTGGACCAAGCAACCCTGGGAGTTGACTTTTGTTGACTTTTTCAAAAATGGCCTAAATTGAATTTGAATTCCTTGCTATCATGGGTAGTTCCTAAGGCTTAAATTGAATTGTTTGGTTGGTAAATTGCTAGATTCTATTGGTCCGGAGGCTTGTGTGAAGGGAAAAGCGATGATTGAGCCTTGAGTTTGGCCGTGGGAGCGAGGTAAGTATTGTGGCTAACCTTAGCTTGAGGAATTAGGTGTTATTTGCTTATTCGCTACGTGTTTGGATGTTGAGTACAACGTATAGGTGAGGTGACAAGTATCTATACGTTGTTGTCGAGTCAATACATGTGAGTGAGTCTTATTCTTGGAAATGTTGTATTTTTGGACATATGGTTCATATGTAGACTAGTTATTCGATGTGCTGAGAAGTTTCTTATCATGTTTTATGGAATTTGGTATTGATGGGGTTTTCACCCAAAGTTGAGATTGGTATTGTGGAACTAAGTGTTGAAGTAATAGTTGTTGTTGCCATTTCTATCTCTCTACTATTGTTGTCTCTGTTTTGGTGAGGTAGAGTGATAAAGCACGAAGGGTGATGTCATGCACGTTTCTATTACTTATGTGGTGAGGAAGAGTGATAAAGCACGAAGGGTGATGCCGTGCACATTTCTATTATTCATATGGTGAGGTTGAGTGGTAAGGCACGAAGGGTGATGCCGTGCACGTTTCTACTATTGATTATCTGGTGAGGTTGAGAGTAAAAGCACGAAGGGTGATGCCATGCATTTCTCGTTTGCTGTGTTTACTTGTTATTACCGGTTCAAAGTGTACCAGTTGTTTAAATTCCTCTACTATTGTGATTCTTTATTTTGGTATCCCCCTTAGCATGTTTCCCTCTCCTGTTAATTTCTGCTTAGCTTCTATTAATTGTTATTCTGCTAGCATATTGTTTAACTGCACATATTTATGTATGTGTCTTCTCCTAGCCTCGTCACTATTTCGCTGAGGTTAGGCTCGGCACTTACAAGTACATGGGGTCAGTTGTACTGAGACTGCACTCTCCACTTTCTGTGCAGATTTCGGTACTGGACCGTGTTGACCCGAGTTAAGTTACTGCCTTCAACCCTACAGGAGACCCAAGGTAAATCTGCCGGCGTTCGCAGACCCTGGAGTCCCTTTCTAGTTATTCTAGTTTACTGTTTCTTCTAATTCAAAGAGAGTTGTATTTTCTTTCTGCCAGTATTTGTAGTGACTCTTAGAAGTTCGTGAATTGTGACACCAGTTTCTGGGTAGTTATGTATAAGTATTTTGGTTACTATGAAATTATGCACTCTTTTAATCTGTTTGGGTTTAATTGTTGTTATATACCGATTTGGTCAAGGGTTAGCGTATTAAATCTTTAACTGTTGGCTTGCCTAGCATCCGAAAAAGTTAGGCACCATCAGGGTCCTGACCGTGGGAAATCTGGATCGTGACATTAAATATTTTTTATGTAATGTCTATTTTTATAAAGGTTGAGAAAAATCGACCGACTTCGGTCGGTAATATTATTAAATTTATATTTTAGTTATTTTAAAATTGTGTTTGCAACCGAAAATATTTAATTATAACTTATTCTGGTTCGTAAATTAAATATATATAATTTTTGTTATATTAAAAACCAATTGCCTTTGGCGGAAAAGCATAATTTCAAATATTCCGACCGAAATCGGTCGAAAATTTTGAAAATTTTGAATAAAAACTATTTTTGTAGATAGCATACAAGTATGACGAAGTCTTGGTCAAAATTGATCAAGTTCCGACCGAAATCGGTCGGAATATTTATATATTTATTGTGGGACCACTATTTCCGTTGTCAGAAATATTTTCTTTGACCTTTGCGACCAATTTACTTAATTTCCAACCGATTTCGGTTGATTTTCTTTCCGACCGATTTCGGTCGATGTTCTTTCCGACTGATTTCGGTCAGTATTCTGTGGACGAACTTTGCCAGTTTTCTAGTAGTGAATCCAAAACTTGAAATAAACCCAAGCACACCACTAAATCAAGAATCATAAAAGGTTAGACATAATGACTAATAAGGGAAGAGAAGGATGGCATAGGCGCCCTCAAGTGTTACGCTTGTTTTTCCTGCTATTTGTTGCATTCTAAGAAAGATATATTGTGTTGACCCCATGATCCGATATGGGGAGTTTTGCATTGAGACTCGTACGTCAGGCGGATACAGGATTTGAAGTTCATGAGTTCCTGTAACAACCTCAAGTTACTATGCAATAGTAATTAAGTTCACAGTCAACTATTTATAAATATTTAGTGAATCCATAAATAACTAAGCTCTAGATGGCCACTTGTTTGCTCCAAATACATATGCAAAAGAAAAGAAGAAAATAACGAGAGAGACTATATATAGATTGAACAAGCATTTATATATAACCACAAATCAAGGAAGCAGTTGCAACCCTTAATTCGCAAATTTTATCAATAACGTAACGAACACAGTAGCATGAATTCATCTGACACATTATAGGCTTTTTTATACGTTCTTTTTACCCTTCAGCTTATAGCTATTTAATTGATTATACATTTTCTACGTAAAAAAGAATGGAAATATCTTGTACGGGCTAAGTTTCTCTTTGTAGAAGGCCCTAGATATAATACCCCTAGAGCTTAGCTTTCGCCGTTGCTTTTTCTGGTAATATTAGTTTCTTCAGCCAAGCAGAAGCCATAGGTTCCATATTAAATGGGCTTGGATTTTCTCATACGTTAGAAGTTGTTTGTGCAACAACTTCTTGCTTATTAGTCTGTTTTTCATCAGTATCATCAACTTGGGCTTCCTTATTCGGATCAGAATTTTCTTGCATCTCCAATACCATTGCTTTCATGTCTATGACGACTTGTGTCAAATCTTTCAGATTACTGTCTGCCGGTTGGATTTGTTGCTTTCTGTTTCTGAAGATTGCGTACAGTATCATCTGAGCAATTCCAAATGTAAACCCTAGAATGTTTGGCGTCTGTTCATGCAATCACAAGGAAAAAGATAAGTACGCATATAAAAATTAGCTAGGAATGAGAAAAATACGTCCATAAAGGGTTTGTCAGAGGACTTACGGCAATGTACATGTCCTTTATCAAGAGACCATAGAAAAACCACATTACGGCACAGATTGTGAGGAAGAAAGAAAGAGGGAATGGCATGAACTCCACGCTCCTTGTTCTTATAACGCGTCTCTGCAAAAAGAGCGAATATATAAAAAATGGCATATATATTTATATATATAGTCAGTTTGGTTCAATTTTAACACCAAAGAACGTAGCCTATTTACAAAAAATAATGATAAGATATTGTTATTATAATACCATAATGCTTAGAGGAGCAGCAAAGACGCAGACAGAAAAGACAGCACAGATCCATCCGACAATAGTGACTCGCGTCTTATCTTTGGCGAATATATATGTCAAGGCGACGATTGCTCCAAATGATCCTATATTTAACAGAAGAACCAGCTTCGTAGTGTAAATCTGCAAATCAACCAGAAAACCAAAATTAGAAAGTGGAAACATTAATTTGGATATATATGTATATATGCTTAAACAATCACTAAAAATTTAATAAGGGTATTGCAATTTGAACTTATAAACATTGAACCGATCAAATTTAATCTGCGTATAGAAGAAAAAAAGAGAGTGTTGTATGTAGTGAGTATTATATAATAATGACCTTGGCCTCTCGGGTGGCATATATCAAGAAGATTGTGAGATATATCAGTTCAATGGCAGTTCCGAAGCTGTTAATAGTAATGAGCAAAATCCCATTTTTCTCCTTGAGATAAGCATAGTACAAGTAGAGCATGGCACTGAATAGTGCAACCGAATAGGGTATAGACTGGAATCCTTCCGTTGATTTTCTCTTACATATCCTATAGAAAGTCGGTCTGTAAAACAAGAAAATATTACATATAACATCAATATTATTAGCTAATCTTCTATTGGAAAAGAAAGAATTACTGGGACTCTTACATCGGAGACAAGTACACCAAGAACGACACCCCATTTCCTGTAATTTACCAAAGTTAAAAGAAGTGAATTATACAACTAAATTTATGTAAAGGGAAGAGGGTAGAGGTATTAATGAAAAATACCAAGAACGCCAAAAACAAAAGCCAATTGAGAAGCAGAGAAGACAGCCATTCTTGGAGAGAGAACTGAAGTTCTTGGCTGTACTTGTGCTAATACAAGCTGGAGAAAATCCTCAAAGCATGAGCGAAATACATTGTTTTGCCCATGTTTATATAGGAATCATAAAGTGAGATATTGCTGATAAAGATTGCTTGCTCCTTGAAACTACTACGTGTGTACTTTGGCTTTGAGCTGTCCAAAAAATCATGTTGAAATCGGCCTGGTTTTAAATGTGAACAAATTTCCACAGGTTTAATTAATTAATAGTTGTATTAATTAGAAAGACTATATCTACCTAGGAAAGTAGGTAGTTTTCCAGAATATCACAATTTTCCTGAATGCCGCTGCTGTACGATATATCTTTTCTCACCAAGCTACTTTAATTTGGACTAATTTGTTAATTAGGTGCCAGCTAGCCTGGCCTAGTATAAATTGAACCATAATAATATCTGTGGTCCATTAATCAAAATGATTTATTAGGACATGATAATCATCTAAATTTTTTGGTCACTGGAAACATAGTTGTGGTTTCATAGAGTAACCATTTTATTCTTAAAAAAAATACATATATTTTCAATTTTCTATGCTTATTTCTCATCTTTTAAAGAACATTGAATCTGTGATAATGGTACTTGAATTAAGAGAAGTACTTTCAGGAAAACTCGGGAGGCATTTTGTTAAAATAGTTGATTCTTTAACATTTTTTTGGCACGGCAGCTACTGATTTATTATGCCCTTTACATTTTGTTCAGTCAAAAAGTTGAATTATATAGAGAGATAGGACTTAGGAGAGGCTAATATGGCTTAAAGCATGCAAAGCGAAAAAGGATGAGCTATAGATAGTAATGCAATGTTTTAGAAAACAATAGGTAACTTGTTCGTATGTTCTGTATTCAACAAATAAAGAAGGTTATCTATATTATCGTACATCTTTAACTTCCACATTAATTTTATGATCTCTCATAATAAAATGATTCCATTTTAACATATATAACCAACTCCATTATCATATGGTTTTGTAACAAAAAAAAAAGATTGAAGATAAAAAGAGAAAACATAGAGAACAGAAAACTCTTGTTTACAACGCCAAAGAAAGTGAGCTTCACGTTCAAAATTCATAAAAAATGTTTAGAAACACCTCTTCTAGATTCCCGTTCAAACACTCGGAAAAAGCAAAAAACAGAAACAAAAGAAAACAAAATAGTTTTGACACTAGCTAGAGCTACGTCAGATGAAATCGGTTACGTGAAGGAAATTGTGAAGTGAGAAAGGAAAGGAAGAAGAGAGGACAAAAGAGAGAACCAACGGCGAGGGTTGTGCAACCTTTAGAGGATGGAGAATATTGGAGAGGGTTGTAGTTTGCACGTGACTATAATCAAGTGTGTTTAGATGATTTAAAATTTATGGGTTCAACTTTTAAGGTTTTACTTTTATCATTAAACTTATTATATTTTTAAGGTTATGAGTTTATTATTTATTATTTTTATAATTTTAACGAATATTTACTTATAACTTTTTTCTCCGTATTCAAATTATAGGTTCAATTCAATTTGAAGTCGTTATTAGCACACTACATATGCCCTTGCTTCCGTTACGTTTTTCATTTAACTGACTCCGATCCACTTGTACATTTTACATTTGCACTGTATAGTTGGCACCACGTAGGACTTCCTTTTCTTCTTCCTTTTTCACCACCTTTTCTCCATGCAGTGCACCCTCTTTAATTATTGGTTCTTCTTCTCTATCCCTCTACTTGTATGCGCAAAGGCAAAATTTTCATTAACACGATTCAGAAAATAAAAAAATAATACATTCAATATGTATACATTAAAAAAAGTTTTGACCTTATATGTATAATGTATTTTTGGCGAAGGATCCGCCCCCATAGCTGCGTCCCTGCTTGTGGGTCGTAATCTCCAATATTAGGCAATAGATCACTAATAAATATATTGTGTGTGCACATGCATGTTCAACAAATATTAATTATTGTCAATTTGCTCTAATCGAGCAAACATTCACTCGATTCACGCATGCACTACACACTCAGATTTGGAGTACAGAGTTTAGAGAGAAGAAGAAGAGAGAAGAAAAGAGCTAAAGCTCATATTTTCAGTTAGTACAGTAATAACCGACCTAGTCTCTTTTTGTAGACTAAGTTGGTTATATTTCTTTCTTACACCTCTTAGTTTCTCCATTTATACTTTAGTCCTAATAACAACCTAACAACTTACTTGTTTTTTTCAGACTCCCCGTCAAGCTGGAGGGTGAAAGACATTGAACAATCCTAGCTTGGATATTAAGACTCTGTGCTGCTCAGCTCCCAGTCCTTTGGTCATCATATCTGCGAGCTGTTCTTTAGTGAAAATGTACTGAGGTGTGATCAGACCATCTTTAATTTTTTCTCTCATAAAATGGCAGTCAATCACTATATGCTTTGTTCTCTCATGATAAACTGGATTAGTTGCTATTTGTATAGCTGCTTTGCTGTCAGAATGCAGTATTACTGGCTCCTTCACAGTTAATCCTAACTCCTTCAGTAATCCTACCAACCATACCAACTTTGAAGTCACTGCTGTCATGCTTCTATATTTTGCCTCAACAGAGCTCCTAATCACAGTTGGCTGGTTCTTGGATTTCCATGAGATCAATGAGTCTCCTAGCTTTATCACATATCCAATTACACACCTCTTTGTGTTTGGGCAGGCTGCCCAATCTGCATCACAATAGGATGCAATATCTTTTAATGGTCCTCTCTTCAATAATATCCCCATCCCTGGTGATCCTTTAATGTATCCCATAACACTTAATGCAGCATCTAAATTTGATTGCTTTGGATGCTACATGAATTGACTTAATACTTGGACTGCAAAATATATGTCCGGTCTGGTAATAGTGAGGTAAATGAGTTTCCCTATTAGTTTTTTATAGCTTACAATGTCTTGCAACTCCCCATCTTCCTTAATTCTTGCATGTTTATCATATTCAATAGTTGTCAACTTGAGGTTTTGTTCCAATTGTGAGCTAGCTGGCTTTGCCCCACTTAACCCAACTTCTGAAATTAGCTGAAGAGCATACTTCCTTTGATTAAGTACAACTCCTGTTGCTGACCTCATGAGCTCAATTCCCACGAAGTATCTAATTTCACCTAGATATTTCAACTTGAAATGTTTGTGTAGGGTTGATTTTGCTTCTTCCACCAATGTATCGTTGCTGCTAGTAATCAACAGATCATCTACATACACAAGGATGATCACCAGGTCTGCATTTGTCTTCTTTATGAACAGGGAATGATCATAGGCACTTTGAGAATATCCTTCACCTATCAGTGAATCAGTCAATTTAATGTTCCATTGTCTCGATGCATGTTTAAGACCATAAAGAGACTTAAGTAGTCTGCAAACCTTAGACTCCCCCTGCCTATGGAATCCCTAAAGCAAGTCCATGTAAACCTCCTCATACAAATCACCTTGTAGGAAGGCATTATTGACATCCATTTGAGATAAAAACCCAACCTTTAGAGACTGCTAGGTTTATCACAGTTCTGACTGTTACCATCTTGGCAACAGGTGAAAAGGTTTCATGATAGTCTAACCCCTGCTGTTGTGTATATCCTTTTGCAACAAGCCTAGCTTTGAATCTATCTGCTTCACCATTGGCTTTGTATTTGATTTTGTATACCCATTTTGAGACAATAGTTTGCTTTTCTGGAGGAAGATCCACTATATCACATGTCTTGTTTTCTTCAAGTGCCAAAATCTCTTGCTTCATTGCTTCTATCCACATGTCATCTTGGGATGCTTCCTAAAAAGACTTTGGTTCTATCTGAGCTGAGAATGAATACAGGTAGCATTGGTAGTGTTCTGATAGATGATCATAGCTCACAGAATTTGAAACTGGATAGAGACTATCTCCTTTTGGTTTCCATGCAGTCACATAATCTTTAAGCCATACTACTGGTTTTGTTGTTCTTGTGGATTTTTGCTCCCTGTAGGTTGCTACACAACTGATGGCATTTACTCAAGTATAACCTCTTCATGTTCCTATTGTTGTACCTCTTCATGCTCCTGTTGTACCTCTTCTGGTGCTCCTGACAACTCCAGCCCCTATGTAGCACCAGCCCTTAGAGCTTTTCATATGGGGATTTTCCATTCAGCTTGTGGGCAACTTATTGATTAGATAAACTACAGTTTTGACATAGTCTCCCCTAAATCTAGCAGGTATGTTGCTTTGAAATTTCAATGCCCTTGCCACCTCCAATATGTGTCTATGTTTCCTCTCTACTACTCCATTTTGTTGTGGAGTATAAGGACAACTACTTTGGTACTATCCCCGAGGATGAAAGCAAATCATTGCAGTTTTTATTGAAAAATTCTTTACCATTATCATATCTCAACACTTTAACAGCAGCATTAAACGGATTCTTCACAAGAGAAAAGAAATCTTTCAATACTACTATTACTTCATATTTAGATTGTAGCAAATAGATCCAAGTATATCTACTATAGTCATCTACTATGGTTACAAAATAATGCTTCTTGTCATAACTAGCTACTTTGTATGGTCCCCAGACATCTATCTGCACAAGTTGAAATATGCAATCAGATTGATGACTACTAATAGGAAACTTCAGTCTACTCTGCTTGGCTAATGGGCAAATCTCACAATTCTTCTGCACATCTTGATTCACTTTATTCTTCAAATCTAGCAAGCATTGTAGGGGACCTATGGAGGCATGTCCCATCCTTTGATGCCACAATGCTGCAGTTATTTCTTCCTTCTTGACTGATCCAGCTTCTACTTCATCCTCTTCATTTCTAATTATGTACAACCCTTCATCTTCTCTACCAATCCTCAGTACCCTGCCATTGTAAAGTCCCTGAAACACACAAAAACCAGGGTAGAAGCAAGTTGAACAACATAAATCTCTAGTCAGCTTAGATACTTGTCACAATCCAGATTTCCCACCCTCGGGAGTCGTGATGGCGCCTACTAGTGAAAGCTAGGCAAGCCGACCAATTAAACTATTTACCTTGTTTCCATTTTTAATCTGATAACAGTTAAGAGC